GACACAGCTACCTTGACTCCAGCAATACCAAACCTCATAAAACTTGCTGAGTATCACATGGGGGTTTTAAAACAGAGCAAAGAAGTGCTTTGGGTTATGTGGCCATCTGCGCTGAAGGACGTCTGCTCACAAGGAATGGGAGGACCAGTTCCAGGTGCCACGTTTCTGTTATTCCAGGCTTCTGCACAAAAGCTCGTCGCTAACAGCTTTAGTATAAGCCATTAGCATCCGTAGTGGGAAAATTTACAGGGAACATAAGGAATGGAGAATTAGTTGTGATGCTGAGGGGTTTGGGGGGAGTCTTACAATCCTGCGTAGGTTCACCTGACATCAGTCAGAGGGCTGAAAGGGATTTCTCTAGGTCACGGAGTCCCATGTACTGCTATCACAAGCAGCTGCATGCCGTCATTCTGTGTGTTCATTTGTCCAGCTCATGCGTGATAGTGGTTGGGTTATTTTTTGGCCCCACTGCTTTCTTTCTGAGACTTCTTCCCTTCAGTCTCCTTTCTTAGCCAGTATCTTTTTCACTTACGCCAGCTGTGATCTTAGCAGACCGAAGCCCTTAAGTACATGGTGCAATCAAGAGAAGTCTTCCCTATGGCTGAACTTCCTGAAAGTCTTCTTACAGCACCATCTGCCAAGCTATGTTTCTGCCCTCCTCCTCCTCCTGAGACCTGGAGGATTGTCTGGAGTTCACCTGACTCCGCATCTTGGACCATCTTCTTTGGCCTGCCGTCATCTTCCTCAATCCACTCCAACTCCAGTCAAGTTCATAAAATTCAAGCTGGTGTCTGAATTTCCTCCTGTCGGTTCTTCATAATAGCTTGACCTCAGTCAGGTATATCTTCAGTGGCTTGACGCTCTGTGAAATTCATATCCTCTCCCTTTTTTTCTTCTGCCTGCAGCTGGTTCTGTGCTCTCATGCTGCCCCTTGGATGTTCACCGTCTATAGCTTTTATACCCCAGGCCCTTGGTTCTTCTCTGCCTTCATTTAGCTTTCCTTTTCAGGGAACCAGCTATTCTTCTCCTCTTTGTTATTCCCGGTCCTCTGTTTCTTCTTGTACTCCATTGCGTTGAGCCCCTTTGTCAGCTTTTCATCCACGCTGGCTGGTGTTTCCTTCCGTTCCCCTTGGGATCTGACCTTTCATGGGTCACGCTGCTCCTAAAAGGTCCTCTTGTTCAGCAGATCTCCACAAACTTTAAATTGCCTGTTTCAGCTCACTTCCTCTCTTTTCAACCACATCCGAAGATCCCCAGCTGATCCCCCATTCTTTCCAGCTCATTTCTAGAGCTCAGATTTTTTCTCTGAGTTATCTCGGTCAATGCTCCTTATGTAAATAGTTATGCACAGGCACATCCCCTTAACTCTCGCATTTCGCCGTCTTTGTCGTATTTTCCAGTCTTTGCACTGCATCCACCAAAACCTGCCTTTCTACACCTCCCTCCCCCTTATACACATGCATCCCTAAAAATAGTAATAAAAGGAGGTGAAAAATCCCACGGACTTCCCACCTATAAGCTCCCTTTTCCTGCCTCCGCTTGCTTGACCGCCTGCTTGCCCGTTGCTTGGCTCCTCAGTCTTTTGCCCAAATCAGCCCTGCTCTCTCACTGAAGTTTGGCAGTTAACTGTCTGTCAGAAGTAATTAAAGGCAGAAAGCCTCCCTCACATACTCACTTGCAAATCCCGCTTACGACGCACGCGGCTCCCAGACAGACTCTGAGAAACACAAACTGCAATCAAACCGCAGACTCTGCAAGCTACAACCAAAACAGCGAGAGGCAAGCAGGCAGAGGCGCAAATCCACGTACTCGCGAGTGAGGAGACCTTGCGCCTTTCTCCTTCAGGAGAGAGCCCAGTGGTAACAGTACGATGCTTTCCTAAAAATGCTCGGGATCTTTCTACGCTTGCTAGTGTTTTATGTCTGCGTTATTATTTTTTCCTCTGGAGATGGTTGGTGCAGTGCAAGTGACAAATTTGCATTATTGGAGAGTTATTGTTTCCACTTTTGCTCTATGTTTTATTCATTGCAAGCCATTATTTTAATACGGCTATGATTATGTTACCGGCTGAAAACAGGCCACCTGTGGCATTTTACACCAAATTGTTATAAACAGGTATATCCCAGCAAAACAGCAGCCCACACTGAGACAGTGCTTGTGCTTCTGAGTGATGCAGGAAGGTGGAAGAGTCAGCCATGGGTCTCAGCTGATTTTGCTGATAAAGCAAAGACTTGACTGTTGCAGAATTAAGCTTTTTGCAGCAACACTGGATTATCTCTTACCCCTAACCTGGTCCCTGTGGGTTAAGCATTGCATGGAAAAAGCTGAGTGAGAAAAAGCTAAGTAGTATCCTGATCTGGCTTATATACTTGGATAACTTGAAATATCGCTATGATTCTTCCTATGAATATAAATATTACTATTAAATATTTATGTGATGGTCCTACTCCGAGTCCTCTCTAGGATTGAGGCTCTATTTGTGCTGGAGCTGTGAAATGAGAAAACGTTGCCCATCCTTTGGGGAAAAGCAGGCTCAAACCAAACAAAAGTAGGTCCTTTCTTACACGGCACATAAACTGCTAGATGCTTTACCGCAAGGTGTTGTGGAGGCCAGCTGTGCAAACAAGGTAGAAAACGGTTAGGCGAATGAATAAAGTATGGATATACTCTGTGAATCCAAAAGTCCCTTAGCTAGAGATCGTTGCAAGTTGAGGTGCTAGAGCAGGGCTTTCGCTTTCCGTCTGCTAGTGACTGTCAGCAAGGGTCGAGCCTGTGGACTAAACGGTGAGCCAGTCTCGTCCAGTTCGGCGTTCTTGTGCGATGGCTGGTTACGTGATTTGAGTCGGGGGGACAACGTGGCAAGAGCTGGAGAGAGACTCGCTTACAGCTGTAGAGCTGATTTCCGCTCCGCATTGCACCCTGCTCCTTCAAGGGAAGGAGGTGGTGCCTCTGCTTGATCCTGCCCAGATAAGCCTCTATTAGAGCATCACCTCTGCACTTCAGAAGGATGGTGGAGGTCAGAATGTACAGCAACGTTGATTATAACCTTCTGTATTTTGAAGATGTCACCTGACAGTCAGATCATCCACAAATGCTTTTTTGAGTGCTTTTTCAAGTGAGCACGTGAGCAGAAAGTTCAAATCTGTAAATGTGCATAGCCAAATGTCCTCTACTCCAACTCTACCTGCCTGCGGTGAATTGAAATGAAAGATCTTGGCACATTTATCTTCCACCTGGAAAACCACGAAGGTGTGCAAAACACATTTATCAGATCACAATATATTTAAGCTCCTTACTTAATTCGGCTTTTCTTCCTCACACAGCAAACAGCCCACTCCCAAGAAGCCATGCTGGCTCATTTAGTACTTTAGCCTCTGATTCTCCTGAACATATGTTTAATAGGCAGGAGATGTTATTAAGGAGGCATGATGTTGCAGACTGTTCCTGGAAAATGCAGAGCAGCTTTCACACTTAAAAGTTAATCTTCTGCAAGTTACATGTAAATACTCAAAACGATACGTGATCTGTGATTTGGAATTTTGCTAGATACGCTTTGAGTCGCTTCTGTTAAAATATGTCAGCGATTCTTCCGCTGAACGCGTTGGCTCCAGAAAGAAAGCTTTTGTCAACCACAGTAGGAGACCGAGGTGTTGAGAAGAGTGTGGATATTGGTGAGAGAGAAGAGTCTGACTTGAACACACTGATTCGCGTTTTGAGAGCTCTGAAACACGGATTTGCATCAAAGTAAAATTCTCAGGGTTAGTTAAATATTCCTCTAAATATGCAAAGAAATTGAGTTACTGATGCTTGTTATTCTTATCTTACTCTTGGTGTCACAACATCTTTAGGTTCAGTGAGGGTTTCACTTACTAAGATGGTTGTAAAAATTTCACATTAATTAAGAGGACTCCACTGAAAATCTGAATATGAATGAAGTTCCTCTTCTGAACCCAGGGCAGTGAATACAGTGGGAAGATCAGACATTGACAAATGCTGATTTAAAAAAAACCACCCTGAAACAAAAACTGTGCTTCAGCCCACTGCCTGTTCCATGAGAGACAAAGCTGAGTTCAAGTTGCCAGAAGGAAAAAATAGATTCTACCTTTAATGTGCAGCCAAAGAGGTGAGCTCCTGCTCCTCTCCAGCAATTGTGACGCTCCTGCTGGCTGGGAACTGTATCTCGCGTGGCAGCGTTGGTGCGGGATGGTCTCTGCGGGCCATGCGCAGGGGTGCCGGCACGTCTCTCCGTTGTGCAGTCTCACTCTCCTGGACAGCTGGTTGTTTTCATGCAGGGATTGGATGGATTTCTCCATCTTTAATGGAGAAAGCCAGAAAATGCAGGCCTGGTTCTGATCCCCTTTTTGTTGGGTTGAAGAAACACTAGCAAATTCAGGGGCATCAGTCTAGATCAGCGCTCATACGACTGAGATGATAAAATTTAAGCTAATGGGGAGCAGTGAGCGCAACAGTAGGTGGCATGCGGACGAGGCCAAATTCCAGAGAACAGATGATGAAGAAGTGTTTAAAATGAAAAATGGGGCTATAGATACATTTCTCCTAAAAGTCTCAGGGCAAGTTTTTTTTTCCTCTCTGTATGACCTGGGGCGAGTCCCCTCCCCTGTGTGTGTCTCTACTAACCCATCTGCTAGATGGAAATAATAATGCGCACCTGCTTTTGCAGAGCACTCTAAGATGATGTGAAAGGCATTGTGGAAATGTAGAGCACCGCTCAAAGCTCTGAAGAAGGCCTTTGGGGAAGAAAATGGTGATCTGTGTCATTTTAACCCTGCTGAAATACACTGGACTTAGCTTTTAGAGGGGATAAGTGAAGATATGGTAGCCTTAATAAATAGTATTTGTCCTCTTAAGCAGGGAAGGGGCAGCATGTGATGTTGTGGGGTTTTTTTTATTATTATTATTGTTGTTATTTTTTATTCACGGTTCCTGGAGGTGATTTTGGGAATTGTACTGACTGTGCTTATGTTTCTGGAAACGTGCAGGTTGGCCAGATGCAGTGGGGCATGGAATGAACAGAAAGAGGTTAAATTGATGGATGACCAACAAGAGCAGGATTGTGCCTCAGAAGACCAAGAAACTATCCTGATTAATGGGGTGAAAGAAAATGGTAAGGAACCTAATTACAGTACATGAGAGAGCAGTGACAGCTTGCAAGCCAACTTATTTTCCTAACTCCTTTCATGTATTTAATTTTAGTGTTTTGCAGGTATCTCTAAAATGTGGAGCAGTAGGGTAAATGGGTGTTCTCTGCAAAGATGTCACTCCAGCTATGAATGTACAGCTTTTTAAGTCTAACAAGTACTGCTTTTGCCCATGCATATGCATGGTTGGAGTTGTTTATGTGCACATGCAGTTTGAATTATGGATTTTTGCTTGGTTTCTCAGGGAAACAACTCATATGAGATCACGTTGCCCCTCTGTCTGCTGGGATCCTTTCCCTCTCTTCACAATTCCTTATGAAGCCGTTAGCTAATCTTAGCCAAATTTGACTGAAAGATACTCAGTCCCTACTAATTTAGGGAAAGGCAGAAGTTGGGTAGAAGAAACGGACCTACTTAGCACCCAGAGGAAGGGAACGTCTGACCTGTGAGCCCGATGGTCTCTCTGCTACGTGGCCTGTCCGCTGGCTGGCGAGCCCATGGGATCCCAGCCCACGTGGCCCTTTGCCACCCTTGGCTAGCGTGCAGGCTGCATGGCCACTGAGGGAAGGGGAGGAGACGCCAGCATGTGTGAAACCACAGGGAGAAGCGGTGGCACTGGGATTTGAGGGCTGTAGGAGACAGCTGGGCAAGGAAAGCAGGATTCATTAGTTCTGCTGCTTTCAGGGCCTTTTGGAAGCTGCACGTGCTGTTGTGATCATTTCAGCAGTGCAGACCTTTTCAATTTGCTGGCTGAAGATCCCATTAGGATTCTGGCCACCTCTTTGGTGTATAAACACACGCTGCTAGTTGCAGTCATGATCCTCTGAACTACTAAGTCATTTCAGCTTTCATTGGCATCGGTGGAGAATGATCAGCCTCTTCTTGGAGCCTGCCTGAAGTATCTAACTTTTTCTTTAGTCAATCTAATCTATTCCATACTTGCTTTCAAAAGCAATAACTAATTAGGAATAAAGCGCTCTGCTTGCCTGAAAACCTGACTGAAATAAAAATTCCTCTGAGCATTTTCTGGAGTCGTTTGGCCTTGCCGTTGTGAGCTGCAGTAAGCGCAGTGGTCTTCTGGTGTTGTGGCAAAGCTTGACATTTTCGTTCTTCACAACGTTTTTATGGAGCTGTTTGGTTAATTTCATGGCTTTGTAGACTGTATATTATCCTATAAACCTTGTAATATGTAAAAATATATAAGTAAATATTTATATAAATATATCAGTTTGACCCTGTTTGACATTTAGGACTCAATCCTCTGCTGTCTTTATGTTCAAACCCTTCTGTCTCATCAGAACGAGGTTTGCTCAGATGAGGGCATATAGAGGCAAATTTTGTTCGCATTCATTAGCCAAAAACCTGGAATGACTCCAGACTCACGGGTGCCCGCCAGCCCCCAGAACTTGTGCTAGTGAAACATTCGCTCGCGCTCTCCTGTCTGATGGGATTTGGAATGCGTCTGTCTGTGTCAGCCCGGCTTCTGCTTGGATGTATCTAGGCAGGAATAAGGTAAAGCAACAGCTGATAGTTGCTAGAGCTACAGGATTTTCTGGCCGTGGTCGCCTTGTCTAATCTGCTGATACCCGGTAAAATCTGTAGCTTCCTCGTCAATAAAGACAGATTTGATTTCTAGAACCTGATACTGCTTCCCCGAAATTCAATTAAGCAGGGCTTAAAAAACGTTGTAATTAAACATTGCTGTGCAGGAGTTACGTGCGCGGTGCCGTGCAGGAACTGAGCAGCTCTTGGGCCGCTGTCTCCCTGATGCTGACATTAGGGATGCGCCTGATGCTTTTTGCGTCCTCGCACCCTAACTGCAAACTGAAGTTTGTTGCACTAGCAGCGGTTAATTTAGAGCAGCCTTTGGGTTTAGCCTTTAGGCTTTAGGTTTAGCCTTGCACGGTTAGGAATTTGCCTAGTTACAGAGCTGATTCCGAGCAGAATGGGTCAATATTTTTCCTCTAAGACTATCGATATGCTCTTGGGCTGTAGTCGAGTTACAACTAAAAAGGCCTTTTTGGTTCTCTGTTGTTGATTTAATTTTTAACTGAAGTCATTTTGAAATATCATTTGCTTTAGAGCTTTAATGGAACCAGCTCTTGATTTTAGGACAGTACAGGCCCTGGAAAGTCAAGTTTTGGCATTTGTACTTCACAGGAGATAATTTCATTCATACAGGTACAAACCTTAAAAAATAGAGACAGTTTAATTAATACAGTAGTATCCTCTGTGTATTGAGTGCAGTAGTTGAGATGGTATTTCAGCTTTCTGATCAGTTTTGAATAGAAGCACTTGTCACAGGAGATCCCAGTAACGGCGGAGGTGCCACATCTTTTTGTATGCCCTACTCTGGTGATGCTGGTGCTTCGGCTGGATTTTGAAGGGGTCGACCCTTCTCCGAAAACGCGTTCTATTTCCAGTGGATTCGCAGAATCCTCGTGGCATTGCTGGTAGCTGCCCTTTTCTGTATTTGCTACGTCCACATCAGTCGTTTCCACCCCTCTGTTAGCAATGAGGAGAACCTTATCGCTCCGCTTACCCTGCTGATTTCAATGAAATTATCAAAAAGGTTAGATGTGTGCCAGTATAAAAGCAGGAGGCTTCAGCTCTTAAGTCGGCAGAGGTCTTTGGATATGATAAATGCACACATTTGTATATTTTTTTTATACGGAGGTATCAGAGCATGTTCATGGAGACATTGTGTTTAAATTTCAAGGGTCATATCATCCGTTGAGCTGGAAGTCAGATAAAAGTGTATTCATAATTTTGTTCTGCCCTAAAATAGTGCTATGAGGCTAAAAAAAAGAAAAGAAAAAAAAATCCTTAGATAAAAAGAATCCTTATGTTATTAAAAAGGCATTCTGCAGGTTAGGAAGAATTGAAGGAACTGCAGAATAATAACAATTATAGTAAGAATTGTTTCAAAGTCTTTGTGTTACCTTCTGTGTTTCTCTCAGCTTGGACAGTGATGAAGCAGCTACTTGTATTAAAAACAAATACAACTTTCTGACGAACAAGCAGTAATGCAGTTCAGGTATGTTTAGGCTGCAGACGCTGCAGGGGGTTTCTTTAAGAATCTTATGTTTCTATTAATTTTTTCAACGTTAATGGGAACATTTTTATTAGGCTTGTTTTGTTTTTTAATAACCTTGTCAGATTTGAAAGGCAGTATCCAGGTAACGGTATGTATATTAGAAAGAAAGAGCGGATGGTTTTGGTTTTTTAAACATAATCTTGTACCTCTTCCAGCTGGCTACAGGGGGTAGAGTGTTTACCTCTGTGTTTTTTGTACATCACGAGATTAATTAGACACGCAAATGAAAGATTGCAATCTTGCGGGGAAGAGCCTGCTGCCTTCCCAAGAAGTGGTTAGGAAAAGTCACCTCCCAAGGCACAGGGAAGGGCAGAGGGGGAAAGAGCCGGCGCAGAACTGCGAGGTGTGTAAACTCTCTGTCTTCTTCTCTTTTCCTTCCTCCCTTTTCTTTAAATTCCTCCAGAATCACATGACCTGGCCAGCGATGAGAGGCCTTGCACTGCTGCAGATGCTGCGGTTACGTTTCCAGCCTTGACAATAGCTCAGAAGGAAAATCAAGCGTGCCACCGAGCGCTGCCTCCTCTGACTTCAAAGAAGCCCTGTCTGCTGAGCCCACCTTCTCCTCTGAGGCTCACCGATGTACCTGAGCACACTTCAGATGACTCCTCCGCGCACGCCATTTCTCTTACATCGTGCGTTACAAAGGGCATGAGCTCTTGGTCTCTGCCAGGCGACTGTGAGAAGGCTCCATTCACAATTATGGAGCCCGGAGGCATGTCAGCTCTCACTGGTGACTGCTTGATGCAGCCGAGCCGGACCTGTCTGGGCTGCTTTATTGAATCAAAGGACGGCATTGATGCAGAGCCGGGAATAAGCCTGAAAGTGGGTGATATAAATAGGGATTATGACACCTGTTCGGTCTCTGATATAGGGATTCACTGCATGAGCACAGGAGAAACCATGAGATACGGGGATCAACTGCTTTCAGACCAGCTTTTAAGCTTCCCTATGCATAAATCGAGGGCAGCAGACAAAAGGGATGCAGAAAAATCTGACAGTGATTCAGAGGACCCCACTCAGAAAAATTATTACGAGGGATTACTACTAGACAAATGCAATGGTGAGGAACCTTTACTAACAAATCCCAACCAGGAATGGGGCTATTTTGAATCTTTCATTAGCGAAAGTAAAATTGAGCTGCTTGACCTTTGCTCCAAAAATGAGCTTTCTGTAAATCTGTTTTCGGAGGAAGATGTGGATAATTACATGTTTGATGATGATGATTCAACCTTGGGAAGCGATGTCTGCTCCTTAAAGATTAGATACGAATCTTTTCAGGACAACGTGCGGGAGAAGACCACCGCCCTACAAGAGGATGCCCAGTTCAACTTCTTCCCCAGTGTGTTTGGCAACTGCACTAAAAGGGACAGCAGGAGCACCCTGAAAAGGGGGCCGGGTGGTGCCACCGACCCTTCTCAATTCAAATCTGAAGAAGGCATCATCTGGGGGGAGGAGGAGGAGGATGGCGAGGAAGAGGATGGCGAGGAGGAGGAGAAAGCTGCCTTAAATAAATCGTGCAACAGTGCGGAGATGGTGCAGTACGTGGGCTCCAAAAGGAGCCACTTCTTGGACTCCGTGAACTCCACGGAGGACTCCGGGGAGTTCAGTGATGACAGCACTTGCACCGAGTCCTCCTACGACGTACTGCGGGATATCAAGGACTGTAGCCGCTACCTGTCCAGGGAACACTCCAATTCCTTCATCCAGCAGAACTACGGCTTGCGGGCAAAGAGGAAAGTGCGATACAGTGATGATTACCTGTACGACGTGGACTCCATCGAGAACGAGAAGATCCTGGATAAGAAGGAGTGGCTCCCGGACGGGCCCAAGGAAGAAGATGACGACGAGTGGTGCCCAAAGAAAAGGCGAAAAGTCTCTCGCAAGGAGCCCCCCGTTATCATCAAGTACATCATCATTAACAGGTTTAAGGGAGAGAAGCATATGCTGGTGAAGCTGAGCAAAGTGGATGCCAGTGAGACAACTGTCACCCTAAACGAGGAGCTGCTCAGCAAATACGAAAAGCTGGCCCCATTGAAGGGCTTCTGGCAAGAGCGGCAGCAGAGCCGGATGGATTTGCTCCGATCGTCTCTCTACCACAAGCAGAATTTCTATCTTAACGGCTCAGATGCTTCGTTCCTCCCTCACCCACGGAAGCGAAAATGCAAGCTAGCAAACAGGCACAGGATTCAAAGAATTAAAGCCATTGAGCAATCGGTGAACAAGCTGGGCTCTTGCTCCTCGGATCACAAGCAGCCTTGCAGCAGCAAGGAGGACGCGGGCCTGAAAGGGCTGCAGGCGTTAGCCATCGCCACCCCCAGCTGTGCAAACGGATTACATGTAAATGACATCACTGGCATCGCCTCAGTGAAATGCAAATCGCAGGAGCGGGAATATAAGGGGACGGAGAGGAAAGTGCTCCGCCGAATCAAATTCAAAAGCGAAGCCAGGTTGAAATGCAAGAAAATCAAAGCTGCTGCCAACACGGCGGAGGGCTCCCCGGCTCTGGGAAACCAGGACTCTGCAGCTCGTTTGAAGGACGAAAATGTTCCTTGTGCTTCAGACAGCTCCCATCTTTCGGAGTGCCATGAGGATAAGATTGCTAAAAATGCTGCTTTCCTACCATCCACCTCCTCTTCAGACAAGCCTCTACCATCTGCTAATATCACCACCAATGTACCCCTGATCCCTGGAGGGTATCTGCAGACATTGTTAGATGCTTCTGATTTGTCAAGCAACACTGGTATCTCATACTTCACCCAGCATCCCTCCGAGCAGCAGCATTCGCTCCCCAGCGTCGTGCAGGCAGAGAAGCCGTTCTCGGCTCTGCAGCCTTCCCAGAGCTGCGTGCTCTCACCGCCTTCGGAGTCGGAGCTGCAGCAGTCACCTGGCCACCTAGAAATGGAGCAGAACAACTTCAGTAGCATGTGGCCGGCGAACAAACGAGTTTGGTGGCGCAGCGGGAGCAGACAACCTCCCAGCCTCTGGATACAGTCAAGTAAATCTGAATAGCAGCAAATTGCTCTACCAAAAAAATTACATGCCGGATAACCAACAAGTGCAGTCTGATGATTCTTATCAGTCATGTCATTTTAATAATGGAGAGGGGCGCTTTCATTTCCAACGAGGTACACTAAGTACAGATGATGGCAGACTCATTAGTTTTGATTCAGTGGGTTCATTGTCAGTTAGTTCTAGCAATTACAGTTCCTTAAGTTTAAAGTCTTGTGAAAAGGACGGCGAAGATGATATTAACGATGATTTCTTGGCCCACTGCAGTCCCAAGCTAGTGATCCAACAAAGCATAGACGAAATAACGCCTCTGAAGGAGTCCACGGACCTTTTAGACATTTCCAACTTCACACCCGATAAGTTCCGTCAGTCCTCCCTGTCGGAGATGTCTCCCCCAGACACTCCCAACCTTTCCCCGCAGATAACCGGCTCCGACGCCAAACCCCTGGGCACCCTGAAAGGCTTTCAGGAGAGCACCCAGGCTGTTCTCGACAGTTCGGAGAAGGTCAAGTGGAACTGTGGGGTCCTTCAGACCGAGGAGCAGGCAGATAATGGGTTTACTTTAAATAATCATCAGTTTCAGTTCCATATGTTCAACGATGAAGATTCTGTCAGCCTTCTTGAAAAAAGTCCGTGCTTGTCAACATTTAATGAGCCATCTGGTCAAATTAGCACCAATAGCAAAGTGTCAAAATCTAAGAGGAAAAGTTCATCCAGCAAGAATGTGGGTACAAACCAAAGCTCTTCCCAGAAAACCACTAGGAAAAAATCTCCCAAAACCAACAAAGGAACCGAGAAGCCGCAAGGCAAAAATTCCAGGCAGACACCCAAATCAACCCGGAAAGGGAAAAACGCAGCAGGAGTCAATGGCGAAAAGGCTCAAGCGGTTGGCAGCAGGGCAATCAATCAGTTAAGTAACGCGGCCACCCCAACCAAGGGACTCGCCGAGGGCGTTCAGCATTGCAGCGCAACCGCTGTAAAAATAGGGAAGCATAACGGACTCTCTGGCGAGTGGTCACTGGGAAAGGACCCCAGTACAGGCTGGTCGGAAACTAGCATAGGAAACACTAACAGCCTCCTTGATGATGATCAGAGGGAGTTTGAGGAGCCTTCCAATATACTATCCAACATTGCATCGGGAATGGCAGACGTTCAGAGATTTATGATGGCCTCGATCGAACCCCTGTGGGGGCCCGTTGGCCATAACAGCGTGCCAGATATATTCCGGTCACCTGAATCGAACAGCCTGAAACTGAAAACTCTTAAAATTTTGGCAGGGACGTCGCAAGAGTCTAAGAAAAAGGCAAACAGCAGTTCTCCGGGAACGGCAAAGAACCACAAGTCAAACAAGGGCTCAAGCAAAAATGGCAAAGCCACAACCTGTGATCCCAGTCGCCCCAACTGTTCGACTGGGTACAGTACAGACATTCACTCTCCCTTTTTTGATAAAAACTATAGTAACCTGAGCACTTTAGGCAATAACGGACCTACCCATAAAAAACTGTACCGTCATAAATCAAGTTCTAAATCACTGAGGGATGAGAACTGTAAAATAAAGCGAACAGACCGTGAACAGACCCATAAGGACCCATCTGTGACAGCTTCTTTTGAAAAACTGAGGTAATGCTGCACCAAACTGGCTGGAATGCCCCTTTAACTTTCCTACTACCTGCTAAGCCCGCTGTTCCTCATTTTTTCCTTCCTGAAAGCAAAAGTTGCATGAAAAAGACATTCCCCTTTTACAGTTTTTTTTTTTTTTGGTTGTTTTTAAATGCATGAAAATACTTATTACTTGCAAGCTACCTAAAAGAATGACCAATTTTCTGGCTTGGCTGGGGTTAAAAAACTAACAAGGCTACTCTTTTCTGCTGTTTGGCTTCTTCAGTTTTTAATTACTTATTTATTGGGGGAAAAAAAAAAACAAAAAACGATTACATGCTCTTTTTAATGATTTTGCAAAGGAAAGACTTTTTTTTGAACATTTTGTAAAAAATAAAACACAAAAAAGAGGTTATGCATCCAAAAGCCAAGATACCTAAACTAAAGGCTCTTTAGTTTGAAAGTGAAAAACTCATTCCTAATTGAGCTTCTTGTGGCAATTTTGAGTGCTTTCTAGCCCCCTCTGCTGTTTATATCCTAACCTGCATCATAAAGCTTCATCTACTGTATCAGAGTTTAGAGCATATGATCCTGTTGTGGTGACTCCACACAAGCTAACTAAGATGGCATAAAATGTTTGATTTTTCTGCAGGGAATCAGACTACATTCTTCTTAAAGCAGAAACAACATTTTTGGTTTTACCTGTATTTGAAGAAGAGACTCCCTTTTCTAGAAAGACGTTTGATGTTTGTTTCTCTTCTTTTGGTTTGTTTCCCTTTTTTGGTTGGTTTGTTTGTTTGTTTGTTTGTTCCTTTCAAAATATGCCTTGTGGTACGTTGACATGTAAGTGCTGAAATGAAGAGTTTGAAATTGTGGGAATTTATTATTTGAAAGCGAACCTAATTCTGGTATTCTCTGTGAAAGACTGTTTTAAAAGTCATACTGTTGTACAGTAGTTTATGCACTATTACCCACGACAACAACAAAAAATTGTGCCAAACTATGAACAAGTGACTGTATTGTATATATTTTTACTTCTCTATCAACATTGGGTTGTGAGTGTTTTCTGCAGCTATGCCTTTTGATTTTACTATAAACATTCCAGTTATTATGTACTAACCACCCCCTTTGAAAGCACCTGTAACTCACAATGAAAACAATATTGTTCACTTATACAACTTACCCAAAGTTTTATGGACATGACTAAAAGTGTGCCAAATTTACTTACCTCATTTCATGGATTCACCCTGTGGTTTAAAGCTCATAAAGGAAAAAAAGAAAAAAAAAAAAAGGAAAAGGGAAAAAAAAACAAAGGAAAAAAAAAACCCAGAAAAAAAGGAACTTTGAAACCGATGCTGGGAAATCGTAACGTCCTCTCTTTAAAATCATGAGCAGAAACACATAACGGTGAGATTTTGAGTTTCGTTATAGGAGAGAGTTGAAATGTTGGAGGAATTCAGAAAATCACTCAAGGTAAGTTTGACAGGAACTCAAGTGTCTGCATCTGGAGACTACAAAACAGCTGCTTTTGAAGTGTCTGTTTTCTTAAAGCAAAACCTGTAGCTGAAGATCATTTGAAATGCAAAGTTACATTGCTAATTCTTTGTATCTCAGTTTTATATATTTTATAATAACCTGGGATAAATTCTAAAATAGTTATAAAAACGAAACTAATGTTTCATACATTTATTGCTATTTACTTTGATTTTAAGCAGTTTCTTAAATATTTTTGATGCAGAGCCTGTCAAAAGCGCTCTCATATCATAGCTTTGGTGTTTCCTAAATGTCTAACCTTGCAATGCCAATATAGTTTGAAATTTTGAAAGCAAAACCATTAGTTTTAAATACAACTCTGAACCTTTACTTTGATTGAGTGCATAATATAAGGAAAAAAAAAGGAACTATTTGTGATCTCACCAATCAGGGCCGGATCATACACGACTGGACTTTATTCAGACAGCATTAAGTATCGAATGCTAAATGTATTATCAAAAGGCCTTATTTGTACCCCTACTCACCACACCCTCGCCCTCCGAGAAGATAACAGAAACAAAAACAACAAAAAAAAATCATGTTTTTTCCTTGTGCCACTGAGAGCCTGTGCATTTTGCTGCTGATTTATTATGAAACCTTGATATGCAAGAGACCTGCTAAGTGGGAGCTGTGGGGAGCCGAGGGTTGTAAGGCTAGGACACACGTATGCAATAGAACATGGTGAGGAAGAGGCGCCTTAGGAACAGTCTCACCGATCGCTTTCTCACGGTAGACGTGAGCCTCGAGGCGGTGGTTCGCGGAGGACAGAACTCGACTCGGTTTTCCGTACGAGCAGGAACCGTTAGGGCAACATCAGGCGTGGTTAAAACCCGTGTTTTAGGTTAATTTCGCAAAAAAGCAGCCTGTTTCTAATTGAACACTTGGAATTGAAGTGGAGTTGCAAAGTGGTGATTTGGAATCAAAATGTTTTCAGCTTTTGCAGGTACTCAAACCTCGGGGTATAGCTCACGCTCATTTCCGCAATCCAGAACAGCGCAGTAATGACATTTCATTTGATTTAACGGGCGACCTGCTTCGTAGCAGCTCTGCGAACCATCCGAGTCGTTCGTTTGTTTAATGAAAAACAGAAATCGTGCTCGTGCCTGGCGTGAGTTGCTGCGGCGGAGACGCCGCAGCTGAAGCGGGGCGCGGAGTC